AGGCATAAGATTAGAGGAAGGGGATAGCCATCTCTCCTCAGGGAGCTGCCTATGAGATGGGTAACCCGTGAAATAAAGTCAGTCCCAGCCCACCTGGAACTCACTATGTAGACCAGGCTGGCCTCCATCTCACAGAGATCTGTCTGTCTCTGCCTCTTGAGGGCTGGGATTCAAGGTACATGTTTCTTTTTTTTTTTTTTGCAGGGGGTGTGTGTCTTTTTGAGACAGGGTCTCCCTGTAGGCCCAGCTAGCTTGGAACTCACAATGTAGAACAGGCTGGCCTTGAGCTTAGAGACCTGCTGGCCTCTGTCTCCTGAGTCAGGGACTAAAGGTGTGACCACCATGCATGGCCTAAATTCTTTTATTAATGGGACTAAGAACTCGAGGGGACCCTGATTTCCTCTGTATCACCTGTCTCAAAATAAACAATCATAGAAATTACTGGGTTTGGGGTGGTGAGATGGCTCAGCAGGTAGAGTTGCTTGCTTCCAAGCCTGTTGACCTCAGGCTGATCCCTGGAACTTATAAAGGTGGAAGGACAGACTTCTGGAAACTCATAAGGTGGAAGGGTAGAGTTGATGCCCACAAGTTGTCCTCTGGCCTCTATATGTCCTTTGTGGCACATGTGCACACACAAACATATATAAATATAAATTAAAAAAATATTTTATTATTTTATGTGTATGACTGTATTGCCTGTATGTGTGTGAATGTACCTGTGTCATGCAATGGTACGGAGGTCAGAAGAGGGCTTCGGATTCCCCTGGAACTGGAATTAAGGACTGTTCGTTGCTGCCATATGGGTGCTGGGAATCGAACCCAGGTCCTCTGTAAGAGCAGTGGGTGCTCTTAACCACTGAGCCATCTCTCCAGCCCCAATATAATTTTTTTTTTAAAAATTAAAGGCTGGTATTGTAATTCAGTGGTAGAGCTTAGCATGCCCAAAGCCTTGGGTTTAAAGATGCTGGAGCAATGGGGCTCGAGAGATGGTTAAGAGTGGTTAAGTGCTTTGGCTGCTTTTGCAGAGAACCTGGGTTTGATTCCCAGCCCCCACATGGTGGCTAACCCAACACCCTCTTTTGACCTCCAGGGGCACTGCATGACATGTGTACACTTATACACATGCAGGCAATATATTCATACACATAAATTAAAAATAATAAAAAGATTTTTAAAGAAGGTGGAGCAAGTAGGAGACTTTTACAGAGCCAGCACCTATGTTGTAAAATTATGTTAATAGCACCCTGAGTTGATGCTCCTCTGTCTCTAGTAACTTGAGGCTCACAGAGCGCTAGCTGGAGCCTCCTGGGGATGTGGTTCACACACAGTGTTTACTTACCTGGGGACTCAAACTCCTACATGAAGGTAGAATTTGATTTGTTGCAGACTGGAAGAAACCAGAGCAGCGGGTTTGTGGATGCTAGCCATTTCATATCAGAAGTTTCTCAATGATACTCCATCTTTAATTCAGGCAAGGCCAGAGAAGCAAAGTATCATTGTATTAACGAGGCTCATCTTTCCTTCAGGGTAGAATGCAAATCACTTAGAAAACTAGTTTTGCTAAGGAAAAAGTTTGTTCATGACGTAGCACACAGGAGACAGGAATACCAAGTCTCAGATCTGCATCTCCAGCCCAGGGCTTGGAGTGCTGCTGGGGTAAAGAGACACGGTGGTTTGAGGCACTGGTAAGGCAACAGCAGGGGAGGAAGGAGGAGTGCCTGGTCTGTGCCTGTAAACCACACCTCAGGATCCCTCAGCAGAGGAGTGTCCGGTCTGTACAAAGAGCTTAGCTGCTGTCAGGGCTGAGTCTGGCCTGCTTGTGTTCAAAGGTCATCGCTGGACCCCGTGCAAGCTCCAGGGCCGCCATCACAACCTTTCCTGTCAAACAAGGCCTTTCCCTTACTGTGCACAGGACTGGGTGCAGGCTCCAGGTCCCAGGCAGAAAGGGGGTGCTTGCACGTTAGGGTCAGATCATAGAGACCAACACTGACGATGGCCCTCCAGGGTGAGTGACTATGGGAGGTATGGGCAGATAGAAAATGCTCAGGGCAGGGACCTTGTCTGTGGTGACTAAGAACAAAAGAAAGACAAATAAAGGTACTATTTCTAGTGTCTCTTCTTTTATTTTTTTGGTCTTTTTTTTTTGTTTTGTTTTGTTTTGAGACACAGTCTCCTTGTAGCCCCAGCTGTCCTGGAACTCACTGTGTAGACCAGGCTGGCCTTGAACTCACAGAGATCCACCTACCTCTGCCTCCAGAGTGCTGGGATTAAAGGCATGCACCACCATGCCTAGCTCTATTTTATTTTTATTTTTAATTCTTCTGGCTTTTTGATATAGACCCTGCTGGCCTGGAACTCTCTATATA